AACACCTCATTAAACCTTCTCCAAAATTGACTATATATATCACCCAGTCACAAAGCAAGTCTCAACAGATACAAGAAAATTGAAATAACCTCCAGCACCCTGTCAGACCACCATGGATTAAAGCTAGATTTCTACAACATAAACTGCAGAAAGCCTGCGAACTCATGCAAACTGAACAACTCCCTACTGAATTACCACTGGATCAAGAAAGAAATAAAGAAATTAAAGACTTCCTAGAATTCAATGAAAACCAATGCACAACATACCCAACTTAGGGACACAATAAAAGTGGTGCTAAGAGGAAAGTTCATAGCACTAAGTGCCTGCATAAAGAATTTGGAGAAATCTCATATTAGCAACTTAACAGCACACCTGAAAGCTCTAGAACAATAAGAAGCAAACTCATCCAGGAGGAATAGACAACAGGAAATAATCAAACTGAGAGCTGAAATCAATAAAATAGAAACAAAGAAAACAATACAAAGACTCAATGAAACAAAGAGTTAGTTATTTGAGAAAATAAACAAGATAGACAAGTCCTTATTCCAAACTAACTAAAAGGCAGACAGAGAATATCCAAATTAAGAAAATAAGAAAGGAAAAGGGGGACATAACAACAGACACCGAGGAAATCCAAAGAATCATTGCATCATGCTTCAAAAACCTGTACTCCACGAAATTGGAAAATCTAAAAGAAATGGGCAAATTACTTGATAGTTACCACTTACCAAAATTAAATCAAAATCAGACAAACAATTTAAACAGACCTATAATCCCTAAGAAAATAGAAGTAATCATCAAAAGTCTCCCAATCCAAAAAAGTCCAGGGCCAGACACCAATAACACAGGCACTAAGATTGACAATTAATAAATGGGACCTCATGAAATTGAAAAGTTTCTGTAAGGCAAAGGACATGGTCCACAGAACAAATGGCAGCCTACAGAATGGAAAAAGATCTTCACCAACCCTACATCCAGAGGGATGATTTCCAAAATATATAAAGAACTCAAGAAATTAGTTATCAACAAACCAAATAACCCAATTAAAAATGGGGTACATATCTAAACAGAATTCTCAACAAAAGAATCTCAAATGGTCAAAAAACACTTAAGGAGATGTTCAACATCCTCAGCTATCAGTGAAATGCAAATCAAAATGACACTGAGATTCTATCTTACCCCTGTCAGAACGACTAAGATCAAAAACAGAAATGACAGCTCATGCTGGAGAGGATGTAGAGTAAGGGGAACACTCCTCCATTGCTAGTGGGAGTCAAACTTGTACAGCCACTTTGGAAAACAATATGGCAATTTCTCAGAAAATTGGGAATTCAGCTACCTCAAAACCCAGCTATACCACTCTTGGGCATATACTCAAAGAATGCTCAATCATACAACAAGGACACTTGCTCAACTATGTTCATAGCAGTGTTATGTGTAATAGCCAGAACCTGGAAACAACCTAGATGTCCCTCAACTGAAGAATGGATAAAGAAAATGTGGTACATTTACACAATGGAGTATTACTCAGCTGTTAAAAACCATGACATCATGAAATTTGCAGACAAATGGAGGGAACTAGAAGAAAAACGTCCTGAGTGAAGTAACCCAGACCCAGAAAGATGAACACTTACTCAGTCATAAATGGATATTAGTATAAATTAAGGGATAACCATACCACCTAAAAATCCACAGACTCAGAGAGGCTAGGTAACAATGAGGGCCCAAGTGGGGACACATGAATCTTCCTGGGAAGGGGAAATAGAAGAGATCTCATGGGTGAACTGGGGGATGGTGGGGATGGGAACATGAGAGATCAGGTGGGGTGGGGAGGTGGGAAGAGTACTGAAAGAGACAACTAGAAAGGGGGTGCATTTTAGGGTCAGGTAGAAACCTGATGCAAGGGAAACTCTCAGGAATCTACAAGGATGACCCCAGCTAAGACTCCTAGCAATAAGTGGTATGTAGCTGGAACTGGCCATCTCCTTTAACCCAGAAAGACTACCAGTGCAGGAATTAGGACACCAACCTAGTCACAAAACCTCAGCCACATAACCTTTGACAGGAAAGAAACAGTCTTTCCTGCCTATGGCATATATGCTGGGGTAAGAGTGGCATAGAGATTGTGGGAGTGGCCAACCAATCATTGGTCCAGCCTGAGACCCATGCCACAAGAGTGAACCCACCCCTGACACTGCCTGGAGCACCAGGACCCAGAGGCTGTATGACCCTGACAGCTAGGATAGAACCAAACATGACTGAAGAACAAATGTCACAATAATGATGCCTAATGATATTCTGCTATACTCAAAGATTGGTGCCTAGCCTAATAGTCATCAGAGAGGCTTCATCCAGAAATTGATAGAAACAGATGCAGACCCACAGCCTAACACTAGGGAATTCTGCTGAAGAGAGGGAAGAAGGATTGTAGGTACCAGAGGGTACAAGGACATCACAAGAAAACCCATAGAATCAACTAATCTGCTCATAGGAGCTCACAGAGACTGAACCAACAACCAGGGATCCTGGATGGGACTGATCTAGGCCCTCTGCATATATGTTACAGTTGTGTACCTTGGTCTTCTTGTGGGACTCCTAACAGTGGGAGCAGGAGCTGTCTCTGACTCTTTTGCTGTTTTTTTTTTTTTTTTGGTGGGGGGAACCTATTCCTCATACTGAGTTGCCTTGTCCAACCTTAATACAGGAGAGGTGTTTAGTCCTGCCACAACTTGACATGCCATGCTTGATTGGCATTTATGGAAGGCCTGCCCTTTTCTGAACATAAATGGAGGAGGAGTAGATGGAGGGTGCAGAGGGGAGGTGATGGGAGAGACGGGAAGGAGAGAAAGGAGGGGAAACTTTGATTGGGATGTAAAATAAATAAATAAATTTTAAAAATAGGAATGAAATCAATTAGAAAAACTTTTAAATTTTATAATTAAATAAAAATAGAAATAGAAGATACAAAAATAAATATGAAAATGGTTAAATATGGGGAATACAGGGTTAAAGGACTTAAATGGAACAGGGTTGAAAGATGGGACAGAGGAAGAGGGTAGTGAGTAGGTTAAAGAAAACTAACGATGTATGACAAACTATGGAAACCCACTTGTTAAGATAATTTAAAACTACAATTTTCAAGAAGAAACAGTTAGAATGGAATTACACTACATGGATGAACAATGTCTTTCCCAAAAGACATGGCTCATTATTTAAAATCTCATTGCAAGGCATGAGATACCTTCCTATGAGTTATTGGTCAGGGAGCACCAGCAGTCTCCAAAGCAGTACAAGATATTGCCATTGCCCTTGGTTATCCACCATAACTACACGGTAAGATTCTATGGGGGAAAACACCACATACTTTGGCTGCATGACATAGAGGAATCAATTCCAAAACACCTGGGAAACTTTCTCCTGCTGGCTGGTTACCTCTCACAGTGTCATAAGCTATGCAGGCTGCTGGGAAAGGAAAGACATCAATGACCTCATCTACTAGGGCTGGGTCCTGCATGCTACAATATCATCCTGTGAGGCAAGATGTGCCCACAGATGTGAAAGCGACATGACTGTTATGGGGTAACTAACTGTTTTATGATTGAATTTGAGGCCAGAATCACAGGAAGTCATTTCATACCCGTTATTGTAGCCCTCTCAAAAGGCCACAGGTTGGAAGGTCGTAGGCTCTAGGGTATAACCTGCTGATATGGTTTTGCTAAATGGTCATCTTGTCAAACTGCCTTCTAAATACATGTTTAAATCTTACAGATCTGGACTGCTCTCAACCTTGGTCATTTGGGAAGCTTCCTTTTGTAGTGGGCAGCAGTTAATGCAGCATCTTCTAACAAAAGTCAATGTGATGAGAAGAAAAGATTGATCGCAAAAGATTGATCCTACTACCACTAAAGCTTAGGGATATGGCAGAAGAGTGGAAAGGATGGAAAGGGTGCAGTGAAGTGCTATCTATCTTTTGGGCAGGACATGACTATTGTACTTAGGAGCTCACAGTAGCTTCAGAACATCAAGCCAGCCAAAATCCCAGCATAGAGCAAGGAGATGATGACCATGGCCCACCCCTTACTGAGAAGCTATTGGTAGTGAACAGTTGCTGAAGGAGGGAGAATCACTGCTTTTGAGGATGTGGCCACTGATAGGTTTCCCATACTCTAGTGGTTGGCCACATACCCATGCATATATGGGTAGCATTAACTGGATTAGTGGGTTATCAAAAAATGAAGACATATATTTAGGGTAGTATTGGGAGGAGGATGTGAGAGTCTATGATGGGGTGAAATGAGGGTAAATAGAATTACATTTCATTGTATGCATACATGTATGAAATGTTCAAAAATAATATTTTAATAAGAAAAATCCTGATGTGTAGACAAGGAATGAGTCCCAGGATACAGTGTTAAATGAGTCAAACATTTTATAAAACAATGCACATTATATGCTACTGCCCATTTAAAATGATTGCTAAAATTTGGGAATAATTAAACTACAGGGCTACCAAGAAGAGTTTTGACTTTGTCAATGGAATGCATGGGAGACACTTGTGCTTTTGATTTTGGACTGTGTGGATAGGTAAACTATAAAAATAAATAGAGCTTAAGTTGACAAATAATACAAATTTAAAATAAAAAGCAAGCAAGCAGGTACCAGCAGGCACTGAAGAGCTCTTTTCCCGTGCCAAATTAGAAAATAAGGGGTCTGCACTGTCGGATTATCTAGAAGGTTTTGTGTCCCTTTGTGGCCTTCTTTCCAAATACCTGCTTGCAATGTTGTCTCTGTTTTCAGCTGCATGACTCCTCACTCCAATCTTATCTTTTTTACCTTAAATTTTCCACTCAGAAAATCTGAGCTGAGTGAAAATGATTAGAAAAGACAAATACATTCTTTCCTTGGCCTTAAGCCCCCAAGCTATCAAAGTGAGCCTCATATATCATGACCTCTGAACAGCCTGTGATCCCCCAAAGGATGAGAAGCAAAGAAAGACTGACCTAGTGGCGATGATCACCTCGGTGGGGTTCTTGGCCTTCAGGACTTTGTTCAACTCAGTGGTTGCAGAATCCAAGTGCTTGATGGCAGCAACCTAGGGAGAAACAGAGTGTTCAATCTCAGAAGCTTAGCGCTGTGACTTACCATACTGCATCTCTTCAACCCACCCCTGACCATCTTTACCAGAAACTCAATTGCCTTTCTGGAAATAAACCCAAATAATTCTTGTCAAAAGTACCTAATGATAATCTGGGATCTAAAATCATTCCAAAAATGAGAGAGGAACTCAATGAAAAAATCTCATATTATACAGATAATAAATAATAGATCTGTGATTCTGATTTATAACTTTCCAATACCAGAAGTTTACTTTTTGAATAAGATTGCTAACAATACAGTTTCCACTCATATAGTACTGAGTATGTAACTGACTGTGTTCTAAGTTATATGTACACATCATTTTATGTGCTCTCAATATCTACCCTGAGAGGTCAAGATTACTTGTATGCCCATTTCACAGAAGAGAAAATTGAGGCACAAGAAAGGAATTATTGGGTAGCAGCTGTTAGATTTGATTCCAGGTAGTCTGACTCTTGAGCTGTATTCCCAATTACAAGTTATAATCCTTCCTATCACTTCCAGGTCCAAGCATCTGCCAACTCCTTACAATCATACTTTCTCAGTATGTTTCCATTTTGTCCAATTCTCCTCACCTCTGTTACCAAGTCACAAACCTCAGTCACCATCATCTCTAGTTTGAATAAAGTCAGCACTTCCCAACTGTTCTCCTTGCCTCTGATCTTTAGTCCTTGAGTTGCCTCCTCACACACCATGGACTACTACTCAGTGATGGGTAGTTGTTTGGGTGTGTGATAAAGCAAATATAATGAGATTTCAATGGTGGGCATTCCCATTTCAACTTCCCAATATATTTGGAAGTTTGTATAATAAGTAAGGTGAAAAAAAAACAGGCTGGGGAGATGGCCCAGTTGGTAAGAGCACTTGCATTGAAAGAATGAGGAGCTGAGTTTGAATCCCCCGAACCCACATAAAAAACCTGCAGTTCTAGTGATAGTGAGATAGGAGTCAGAGACAGGCAGAGCCCTGGAATCTAGTCAGCTAGCTGGCCTTGCCCACACTGTGATATTTCAGGCCAATGAGAGACTCTAACAACAGGGTGGAAGGTGCCTAAGGACCCGAACCAGAGCTCGTCTCTGATCTCTGAGCACACTTCTATGCTATGCACACGTACACCTATCCCACATCTATGCGAACAAAATCCCCCCCAACTCTTCTAGAATTCTCATTGCTCTTAGGAGAAAAATCGAAATTTCTTACAGTGCTTTATTAGCCTTTTCTGGGTTGGTCCCTGATTACTTCTCTAGTCTCTCATTTTGTATGTTCCATTCCTGGCCACTCTGCCCTGGACATTATGAATGCTTTTCAGTCCTGTTAATATAATACAGCCTTTCTTGTCTTTGGAACAGTATAAAAACAGGCCTGTGATAGTTTGAATAAGAATGGCCCCCATAGGTTCATATATTTAAATGCTTAGGGAGTAGCACTGTTTGGAAGAATTAGAAGGTGTGGTCTTGTTGGAGAAAGTGGGGCAGGGGGAGGTGGGCTTTGAGGTTTCAGACAATAATGGACTAAACCTCTGAAACTGTAAGCCAGCCCCAATTAAATGCTTTCTTTGATAAGAGTTGCTGTGGTCATGGCATCTCTTCAGCAATAGAAACCCTAACTAAGACAGGCCTCCTTTGTTCTTTTCTCCTAGTTATTGCTGTTTCTTGGGTCTAACCTGAAATGGCACTCATTCTGGATGTTTTCCATGACACATCACAGAGGGACATACAGACATACACGTAGCACTTTATCAAAACTTTACCTTTTCTACCTCTAAGTAGACTCTGAGCTCCACAACAAGGGCTATATTATCCTTCTTTATCTCCCAATGTGTAAGAACGTTTACTAATACAGTAGTTATTCCACAAACAATTTTGAGTGAATGAATGAATAAATAACTAAAATTACTTTACATCCCTAATGCCTAACATATCTGTAGTAAATAGCTGCTGATTAATGTCTCCTGTCCTCAGAGATCTCATCATCATTGAGTCCATAGAAATACTACATATTCTTTTTAGGCTTTTCTTCATGTTTCACTTGTGATAAAATGATTGCTCTGAATTATAGCTCACCAATAATTACCTCAAATTGTGGTATATCCATTGTCTCCCGTCCTTTTAGCAGTGGGAATTGTCTGGGGTATTCACGGACCATCACACTCCATCTAAAATAAAGTTTAAACACAAATATTATTTAGGTGCCTGCTAATTACAAATGAAATCAGTGCTTCATAGTACAAGAAAGAGTTCAAACTACTTATGTGTTTGGGGAAGAGGGCTAGAGAGTGTACTCAAGCAGTATACCTAATCTCAAAGTATACATAAGAGAGGATTCTGCTTCATGACATCCCTAGGTTAGTGTGATGGAAGGAATTTTTCTCAGGACTCTCAGAAATCAGTGTTTTTTCAACCAGAGGTAGCACCATGAGCACCAGAAATATGTTTATGAAATACTTATGCCAGATCCTTGCTCAAGATCTACAGAATAAGAATCTTTGTCATGATCCTAGATTTGTATCTTGAAAACCCACACCTCACTATAAAAGTCCTATTTCTCAGGATATAGGATGACAATATTCTCTCTATTCTCTGGAGCAGAGAAAATATCAGCCAACTGGTGCTGAATCTCCTCCCCGACCCTTTCTTTAAAAAAGTTTCTCTGAGAGCCTGATAATACTAGAGTCTTTCTCAAGAGTAAGTACACTTCCACTGGACAAGTGATTATGCATTTTGGAGGACACTCAGCAAACTCTTGAAGTGTATCCATGAAGCTCCTACTCTATGATCTTTAAGAGGGGGAAGAGGGGCTTCTACAATATTTGAGGGATATATGGCTCTCTGGTTTCTCAATAGACAAGACCTTCCAAATGAGCCTGTACTTTCCCAAGGGAAATGGCACTTCAAAGGGGGCTGGGTTGTGGACTAAGATGATAGAAATAGAAGAGGCATAAGTATACGGCCTTTTGGTCACTCACCTGTCTAAAACCCTCACGTGAGCCTGCTCTACTCTGCTGAAAATATCCAGTGGTGAGTCGCTTTTATTCCAGAATGCTCCCCAGCCAAGGACACGAGAGAGGTCATTACCAGTTCCAAGTGGGATGATTGCCAGCTGACACTGCAAGAACAAAGAGAGACACTCGTTCAAACAGTCCTTCTGCCATGTTTCCCTCACTGAACGACTTTGAGAAGGATTAGAAAGGCATAGGCCTTACAGCCAGGGACTTTAAAGGATCTCTTTATAATAAGTATAGCAGGAGGGGATTTGGAGTTAAATGGTATTTTCTCAAATGAATTGGACCCCATTCCTAATAATAATAATAATAATGATAATGATAATCTACTCAGTTTCTGGGTTATTGCAAAAGTCATAGCTATAGCTGTTTGAGTTGGGAGTCCAGCAAGAGAGATGCTGGATTCTGGATTCAGAAGAGCAAAGGGCTGCCTAGAGATGGGGAAAATTAGAGGAAAGTTTATGCCCCTCTAGAGACTCAGAGAAGAAAATCATTGCCCTCACAAGAAGAAAATTGGAACATTCTTCTTTTTCACCTCTTTACTTTGAAGCCTAGAGAAGGCTCATTCTTTACACCCATTCCTTTATTTCTCCTTCACCCAGATACAGAGAATTGTCTTAAGTGAGCATGTTTAGATTGGTCAGGTTAACTATTAAGCTTGTAGAAGATATGTTTGTAGATAGGATAAGTGCAGACTTGGGACTTCTTGGAATAGATAGCTCCACACCCCCCACTCTTTCCAGCAATAGTTAACTGACTCAGCCAGGAACTTACCCTATCATGCAATCCAAAGGCATCAATTGTAGATAAGACCCAGCTTACGCTGCCATCTCCACCACAAACCAGAACACGAAAACGAGCAAAGTTCTTGAACATACAGATGCTGCAAGGAAGAAGAAAAAAATGAAACAATTTCATGAGTAATTGGAATTTATAAGTATTTCTTATAGCATGTCAGGACCTAAAGACTCCTGCTTTAGCACCCTTCTAACAAGGCCACTCTGCCTTCTCTTTGCATTAGCCTCTGACTCTGTGTATATTTGTGACCCCAGCTTCACAAGGTAACCTCAGCAATCAGACCTTGCCTCAACTCATAGGATTGTGTGCTTAGCCTTCCTCTGGAAGCCACTAAGGATCTAGACATCTGCTGAGTCCCGGGAAGAACACTTTGCATAGCTGTCAGTGGCTCACAGGGACCAGCACTGGATTGTCTAATGATTCCATAAGAAAACAAGTCTGTAGTGACAGCCCCTTTGTGTCTTCCTCTGATGTCAAAGGGCATAGTTTTCTGTCTTGCCAGTTGGAAAAAGTGAAGCAAGTTTGGGAGCAGGAAAAGGGACTGAAGAGATTTCTGGGAGGGGCAAAAAGGTAAAATATTCCAGAGTCATATATTTGCGTATCTGCCTGGGTACAAGCACTAATCCCAGAAAACAATTCTAGCCTAGAATGTAAAGGGGTAGTAGACTGTTCTGTATACCCAACCATACCACCTTAGCCCATGCTTACCCTGCTTCAGGTCCACCCTTCGCCAGGTCAAATACTTGAGACGGATTAAGATACTGCTTGAATTTTCGGAGAAAGACAATCCCTTGATGATCTCCACTTTTGGAGTTGATGAAGATGAGCAAGGGACAGGAACACGTCAATGGCCAATCAAGATTCCAGAAGTCAGGCGATACCACTAATTGGCCTGATAAACACACAAGAGAAAAAGAAAAAGGGCAATTGAGACGAGATAAGATATGATCTAGCATCACATATTTTACAGAGACTTTCTGAGTACCATCCCCAATCCTTTGCTATAAAGGAGTAGAGGAAAAGCTAGAACATCATTAAAAGTGGAGTAAACATGTTTGCTCTACTATTTCTGGGCATTCCCCTATCATTTTCTGAGAAATTATTATATACCAGATATCATATTAGATATTACTAGGAATGTAACCCTTGACCTGAAGCCAAGGAGATGGACACATATACAAGTGAGCATGCTGGAAGACAATTAATGAAGAAATTGCTACACCAGCCAAAGATTTTTAAAACTTTGTGGGAAAAAATGAAGAAAATATTGAGAGCCCAAGAGGAGGAGCAGCCCTCAAGCTAGGCCTCTCTGTCTGGTCCACCTCAGTTCTCACAGTGAGAATGGAGCAGGCCAAGAGAGAAGGGAAAGAAAAACAGCCATTAAACCAGGAGCTACCTAACAACACAGTTCCCAGCAGAATGATAGATCAATAGAAGGTAAAGCCAGGAACTTTAATCGCATCTCTAAGGGTAACAAAGAGTGGTCTACATTATCGCACCAATTCCATGGCAGAATGAGCCTACAGATAAATTGTATGAATGAGAGAGGGGTATTTAATAATCTCCAACATTGAAGTTACCCACAAAGAAGTGGGGTTATGCTAGCCAAATAGTAGTCTAAATAGTCAACTCCAGCCAGCGTGTGGTAAGTCTTAAAGCCTATTGGCAAGGAGCTAGGCAGTGATAATCTTCTGGGAGAGGGATTATCAACAAATACCAGGTCCTCAAACATCTGAGCTCATGGCTTGTTGGGAGTACTCCCGAAAAAAAATAAACATATAGGGCAAAACTCATGTTACTCACTCCTATGTAGGATGGGTATGCTGAGCATTAAAAAAAAAATCTGTTGTGCCTAGCAAAATCAAAGGTAGCTTCCTCTGTGGGCTGGCTCCCACTAACTGGCTGCTGGTTTTGGAAGGCATCCTAAGCAGTTATGCACCACATTATCAGGGCCTGGCAGAACTTGCAACTACAAGAGGGATCTACTATCTTTCCTTAGCAGCATAGCTTGGATGTAATTACTTTCCATGAACAAATGCAATATACCCTTATCAGTAATTCTTAATGAAAGGTAAAATGCTATCAAAATAGTAGTTCTGTCACATTAATTAATTCATTCATGCATGCATTCATTCATTCAACAAATATGTATTGAGGATGTTATCTGTGCCCATTCTTGTTTATGTTGGTGGACAAAATACAATTCTTATTTTAATGAAGGCAAGGTAAATATAAAAGGTAATGTGTTATGAAGAAAAAACATAGAAAGGGAGTGGGGATTGTTCTTTTAAACAATGTGGCCAAGGATAATTCTCTGGGAAGGTTATATTTAAGATGATATTCAAATAAATGGAAGGAGTGTGTAATGCAGACATTTGGAGGAAGAGGGTGTGTGTGTGTGTGTGTGTGTGTGTGTGTGTGTGTGTGTGTTTGAGAGGACAAGAAAAAGCACTAAAACCTGAGAGGGTATGCTAGGTTGTCTGGGAATAGTGTAATTGTTAAAGAGTGAATGAGGGGGAAAGTTGAAGAGGATGACGTCAGAGAGATGACAGGGGCCAGATAATATGATATCAAGATGCTTTAGAGGAAGCAATGAGATAGAAATGTGAGATTGAGACTACAAAGTAAAACATTATAAGTCAGGTCACAAGATGTTCTTGCTGTGTCCCAACAAATAATGCAGACCCCAAGATATATGGTTTGAATATGAAATATCTCCCACAGAATCACGTGTCCTTAGCTGGAGGTGCTAGTTTTGGAAATCGTGTAATCTTTAGAAGGTAGACATGGAGAAAGTGGGCCACTAGGTTAGCAGGCCTTTTGAGGGTTATAGTCCAGCTGTCGTTCAAGCCCCCATCTCTCTGATTCTTGGCCTACACTGATGTGAGTTGCTGCTCACATGGAATCACCCACTGCCATACTTTTCCCACCATGATGGACTGGACTTTATTCCTCCAAACTGTGAGCCAAAATACATCATTCTGACTTTAAGTTGCCTCTTGTGATGTATATGTTCACAGCAATGAGAAAAGTAACTAATACACCAACTGAGATGAGGGATATAAGAAATTGAGATCAGAGAACAGATAGATGCAAGATTTTCTTATAAAGAATTTGTATTTTTTTTTTTTAGAGAAAACTACTAGCCTATGTGAATATATTTGCCAGTCAAGAATTAAGAAACAAGAAAGTGGGGATTTAGCTCAGTGGTAGAGTGTTTGCCTAGCAAGTGCACGGCCCTGGGTTCAGTCCTCAGCTCAAAAAAAAAAAAAAAAAAAGAAAGAAAGAAAAAAAGAAAAAATAGAAATAGAAAAAAAAACAAACAAGAAAGTGAAAATTATGTTAATGGTACCTATAAGTTAAATAACCATGAGAGTAGAGTGGAAATGATTGTTTTAGAATCATCTTATGAGGAAATAGTAACATGGCAGAAGCCTTGTTAGGGCCTGTTTTACTAGGACATCAAAACTGAGTTCCGTATATTTCTGTATTAAATGTTTTGCTAAATACACTTTAGTAATAATGAAAAATTGAGACATGAGGAGGAAACATGTTAGGTAACTTGTCTAAGATCAGACAGTAAATGATGGAGCATGTTCATAGGACTAGTAGCATAGAAAGCATTGGAGAACTTTAATAATGCAAATGATTGGGCCTCACCTAGGTGTACTGAATCAAAATCTCTGAGGGTGGGGCCCCAAACCTGTGTTTTAATAAATCCTTCTCGATGAATCTGATGCATGCTTATGTGTAACAACCACTGTGTGAGTCTTACTTTATTGCATAGGAAGTAATTAACTTGCTGAAGTGAGGAGACCATTATAGAAGCAACAGAAGATAATACTTGATTTGAGCTGGACCCTAAAGGAATTTACTAAATAGGCTGTGTAGAGAAAAGTGGGTAATTGGGTAATTAGAGGCCTTGCCAATCAACTGGAGCCCATTGACTGACTCAATGAACGCAGGAATGGATGCCACAACAGCATTGTCAAAGGCTGCCTCAGAAGGTCGTCATCTGGTTGCTGGAGAAAGGCTTTCCAGCTTGGCTGAGAGGTTGGGGCAGATTAACAATACCACCATTAAGAATCTGTGACTGAGAAATGCAGAAGATTCCCCTAGAATGGAACAGCTCAAAAGGAAACCTACTCTTGAAAGGCTTATTTGTGAAGGCTAAAAAGCCCAGGAATAGTCCAGAAGAAAGGGAGTTCTTTAAAGACATTTTTGAGGAAGTCTAGGCTAAATAATGCATGGTAGAAAAAGAGATTGTTGGTGTGATATCCAAGTGGACCAAGATTGCTGCTACATAGAAGCCAAAATTAAAAGATGCTTCATAGCACACTAGATGACACAAAGTAACAGCCTAGTCCAGCAATTCTATGTAAAAGAAAACAATGCCATTAGTTGATCCATAAAAAGAATCAGAAGTGGTGTCGGACAAAATAACCTTATATTGGATATAACCAATGTCTGAAAGGACAGAAACCACAGAGCATATTTGACTTGGGCACAAACAATACTTCTATCTCCATTAATGTACAGTTGGGATGATTTTGTGGGATGCTAACTATCTCCAGATACCACTGAAGGAAACAGGAGCACAAAACTAAGCTTGTAGGTTGACTTCTATCCTCAGAGATGCTTCCTCCTGCAGCAGATGGGAATAAATACAGAAAGCCAGAGCCAGACATTATGCAGAGAGATATCTTGGAACACACAGGTCTAAATGGGATGTCTCCATCAAATTCCTCCCCTCAGAGCTCAGGGAACCCACACAAAAGAGGAGAGAAAAAAGAGTGCAAGAGCCAGAGGTGATGGAGGACCCCAGGAGAACAAGACCCTCTGAATCAACTGAGCAAAGCTCACATGAACTCACAGAGACTGAAGCAGCATGCACAGGGCCTGCATGGGTCTGCACCAGGTCCTTTTTGTATATATTACAGCTTTCAGTGTAGTGTTTTATGGGAGTCCTGAGTGTGTGAATGATTGGGTCTCTGACTCTTGTGCCTTCTTTGTTAGTTTGTCTTGTTCTAATTCTATGTGATTTTTTTTATCTTATTATATTTTATTTTGTTATGTTTTATTGTTATCTCTTAGAAGCCTGCTCTTTTTCTAATGAGAGACAGAAAGGGAGTGGTTACAGATAGTAGGGAGGAGAGGAGGAACTGGAGGAGAGGAGGGAGGAGAAACTGTAATCAGGATATACTGTATGAGGAAAGAGTCTATTTTTGATAAGAGGGGGGAAATAGATGAATGGTAATGATGCAAGAAAAACAGTAGGTTGGCTTCATGCGTGGCCTGAAGTTGCTTAGATGATTAGCTTCTTACTTTCCCCCATGTGTCCATTCTATCTTCCCCAAGCCTCTTCTTTCTTCTATCTAGCCAACTATCTGTCATTGATCAAGTTACCAATTGCTTTTCCTCTTTAGTCAGTTGTCTAGTGGGTGATGTTATGAAGATAAATATTTGATAAATCTGAGAATGGTGTGTTCATGCATCTCTGAGTGATGTCTTTAGCTTTGTGTCTTTATATGGCACTATGAGGCACATGCTTACACTTGCCTTCAGAAACCTCTGGAAATGGCTTATTCAGTAGCCTGAGGTTTGTCCCCACCTGTATTTTTGTCAATATTTCTAACACTTGGTTGATATACAAGTGTCTCTATTATTTCTTTGATACTTAATATATGCTCCATTCAATTGTTAATTGTGGTGTTATACCAAGACCCTGAATTCATCATGATTACTTGCTGTACAGTGTCTATTTTAGATCTCACTTTGTAGGATTCCAGAACCTTGTAAAAAAAGAACTTTCAATAAATCACTATTGTCCAGGAAGTGATGAAATATCAGTGAAGAGTGCTGGGCAATAACCATGCTAGTTTCATATCTGGTAACAATTTTGGTTTTAGTTTCCATTTTAAAAATAATACAACCTAAGCTTTCAATAGTTTTTTAAACAGGTTCAAAAAATCTATGAATCTTATTGCCTAGATTAGGTAGTATTTGAAAATATAAAAAAAGTTAAGAAAGCTGAAATTAACTTTGAACAGTCAGAAACAATTTTGACAGTCTACAGATAACATGCCAATACACAGTACACATACACCAAAACACAACATTTGCCACTAAAAGTTTCAAGGATTAACTGTTAGCTTTTTGATGCACACATACAAATTCCTATTCCCCCCACATATTTTACTACTTGTGGAGAATAATTCCTGCCCTTCTTCCCAGCCCTTATCCACCCCTCCCTCCCTCCCTCCCTCCCTCCCTCCCCCTCCCTCTCTTCCTCTCCCCTCCCTCCCCCTCCCTCTCTCCCTCCCTCCCTCCCTCCCTCCCTCCCTCCCTCCCTCCCTCCCTCCCCCTCCCTCTCTTCCTCCCTCCCCAGTGTGTTTCTGAAGTAAAAGTCAATCTACTCACCATCGCCTCTGGGGTCGCTCAGCGCGGTTGGCGGCACGATGGCTGAGCGACGACTTCCAAAGGAACATTCCTTGGAAAACCGCTTCTGGCAGGCCCCGTGCACCTGAAACGATAAGAGCACAAGAGAAAAAGGAGGGGGAGAGAAAAGAAGAACATTGGTTAGTCTTTGGTTCCATCTCAAGAATTAGACCTTTTAAATTTCAAGTCTCCTTTTCTGAAATTTAGTACTATCTACATAAACCTTAATCTACGTACCACTGCCCCACCCCATTCTACTGTGAAACTGCAATATCCCTGAGTGTGCAGAACTCTGGCCCTTTCAAGGGAGTCTTTCTGAAGATTCCCAACTACAGGTACTGAGATGTCACCAGCCTTAGGACACAATCTTAGTAGCCTGCAGAGTGGGAAATTTAGTTGCATTTCAAAAGTCCTAGTCTTGATAAGACGTTTATACTTCAATCTTTAGAACAACGGTATGTGGCAATGGGAAATTTAGTTGCATTTCAAAAGTCCTAGTCTTGATAAGACGTTTATACTTCAATCTTTAGAAAAACGGTGTGTGGCAGGAGAAGCATCACTGAGCTCATTTTAGATGAGCATATATGAAAGCCCACAGAGGTACACGGTCTTACCGAGGGTCACATAGCTGGGCAGTGTCAAAGCAGACTTCCCCACAAGTTGCTGTGCTTCCTAGATTTCAGACCTCGTCAGTTCCACATTCTAAACAACTACACTTTCTAGGGACATGAGCCTGGCATGGATATTCAAAGCCAGTGGACAGACTCTTCAGTGAGGAAGCTTACTTCAATTTCTTCTTGTCTTGGAAAACTCAGTTTGAGAGAAGCATCTAAGTTTAGAAAGTCAAGATCAGAGTCTTCCAATCTCTGTGATAATGATGTTTTTGGCCCAGATAGTTCCTTGTTATAGGATACTATCTCATGCACTGTAAGTTTTGAAGAATCCACTAGATATCAGTTTCATCCTTCCTGTCCAGTCTAGTTTTTGGCCATCAAAAATGTCTCCGGGATCTTGCAAAAGGTCTCCTGGAGCTAAAATTATCCTCAGTTGAAGTTCAAAGACATGGTATTGTTGTAGTTAGGAATATAGTCTTATCAGAATTATATGTTAATCAAGACTATATTTTTGCTGGCTATATGACCTTGATTTCACCTTTCTGAGCCACATAATACTCATCTGTAAAATGGGGGCAATGAGACTTAGTTCAACGTTGTTCTAAAGACTGAGATCATGAATAGAAGATAATCAGTACATAGTGACGATGATAATTTGTTATCATTATTACTAACCATTAATTAAGGTTATAAATTCCTAGCAAGTAATGAATGATGGAGGAATCCTTCCTTAAGGAGAGACTCCAGAATTTATTTCTAATTGTTCATATTGTCATTTGAGAATTCAGCTTTTCTCATTGCCAAGATGGCTTCATCAATTAAGGAGCATCAGATTACAAACACTTTAATAGATTCCATAAGCCATATATGACAGGGAAGTTACTGGGCTCTGTACAATGGAATCTATATAATGCATTTTGGTGTAAGGGCCTCTGAGATACATATCTATTTACCTATCTATCCTTGTATAGTTACAATCTCCAATCTACCTCTTCCCTAGAAATAAATGTCTTTAAGTATCAAAGATATGAAAAGACACCCACCGTAGAATCACACCAGAGGCAGCGGAAAGCTTGAAGTCTTTGATGACTCCTGCAGCTCCCATGACATACTGCACACTGAGAGCTGGCAGGTATATTTCCTTCTACCCATTGATGAGGCATTGTTTGCTGAAGTGGCAAAAAGCAAAAGACAGAAATTAGAGATAAAAGAAGGAACAGCTGGGATAATTATACTACCCATGGAAAACATTAGATAAGTCTCGTGGACCTGCCCTCAATGCCACTGGCTAATGAAAGGTGGGGGTTGGGATTTAACTCATGATATTCTTTAGGTCATTGGATTCTGTGCAAGAAACTACTTTGCTTGTCTAATTTCAGGGAGAATTCTTCCTGTCCCTGTGTGTCATGACTTTCAAAGAGTCGGGGAAGGTGTCTGTGGGAGGATATGGCTGGTACTTACTATTTCATCAGCGGGTAGAAGGAGGTCATCAGTTAAAGACAAAGTATTCCACTTGCAGTCTTTGCCTGCTCTCAACGCACACATTTTGTGTGATTTCACATTGCAGACTGTGAAAGGAGAAAGAAAAAAAATAGGTGTGAGTCTAGTGGCAATAAAACTTCTAATTCCCTTCCCTAAGCTTCTCTGGAGGTTAGAATTCAAGCACTTTCTAAATAGTTTTGACCCACTTCCAAAGGCCTACTTCTAATATGAACCAGTTCCTTTTGATTCTTTGTGAGCTAAGTTTCCTATTATTCATTTTACATTAAAATTAATAGTAGGAAAGAAGTAACTTCTGACTTTTCAATCTTTCTGACCATATAGTCCCACCTTCCTATATCCAACCCTCCATTTTTATTCACGAAAACACCCCTTCATGCTAGTTTCTCTTTCCCTCCCTTGGGATTAACTTCACCCAAGAACCAAAGGCTTAGACTGGACCTGTCATGCTAACGCCATAGGAGCCCCTTGGTGCCTAGCTCTATCCAGTGAGCTCTGCTTTCTAAAGTAGTCAGAAAGGTACCTTCACAGATGATGACATCTCGAGAGAAGGCAGAGATGTTCCCGTGACAAACATTGCAGAATTGAGTCCAAGGACTACTGCTGGAATACCAGCAGTGCATTCCAATAAGGAAAGGGTTGTTTTCGGCTGCAGGGATCTAAAGCAGAGAAAAAGAGAGAGAGAAGAAAGAATGGAGGGTTAATCACAGCCATGGAGTCAGGAAGACCAGAAAAGCGGCTGTTAGGACTAAAAGAGCCTGCAATGTAGGTGTCAAAGCGTGTGAAGGAGAGGGCTGGCAGGTACAGGCCTCACCTTTTGTTTTCATTTCATTTTGTTACTGGCTTCATAAGGGAAAAAGACATAGATGGGAATACTCTCAAATAGGATCTGAAGACAGAGCAAAGATCTTTCTATTCCTTGCTCAACCACTATATTAGTTTAGTCCAAGCAAAATGTATTCAGATTGGTCTTGGCTCTCTAAATAGAAAGCAACAGAAAGGAGTGACAGAGAAAAGCCAGTGGCAGGGCTCCCACCCAGAACGGAGGAATACCTGCGAGGCTTTAGCTCTTCCTCCTAATACAGCTGCCAAGTGAGCAGAACGTTGCTTTACTTGGGCAACACTTGAAAGACCATTAAACCCTTCTCTCACAAGCTTTTCCTGTTTTTGAAAACCACGCTTTGACTGCCTACAGCAGTTTCTTGGTTAATCATTTTAATTCATTAACTAAGTTATTAAACAAATGTTTACTGAATCGCTACTCTATGCTTATACCTTTTCAAGGCATTTGAGATATAATCAGTAATAAGACACAGTCCCTCCCCTAATGGTAGCATTCTGTTTAGTGTCTTCTTTCATACTAATTGCTTTGACATTTTTGTTATCCTGCCTGTGAACACAGCATTTGCATATCACAGCTTTATTTTCACCTCTACAGGAAAGGCATAGTCATGTATCAGGAATGCTTTAGTTGTATGGATGTACAGGCACTGAATCCCCCCTGACTTTGTTCTGTGTATATTTTCATAGGACTTTCCCTGTATTTTCTCTCTAGTTCTCATGAATGTCTCACTTTCTTCTCTGCCATTTTTAAAAAAGAGTTTAGACAAAGACTCATAAAGGTTCTTTATTCTTATCAACGCATCATGGGTTGTGCATATAAAGGCATGGTAAGATTTTGAAAGAATAATACATTCTCCCAGATGTAAGTTGACAACAGTCTATTTAGGGGTTGCTGCTGAGGGCTCAAACTTAAGTTCAAACTTAGTCCATTTATTGGAATTACCCATCCAAGACATAGCTTGCACACAGTACTCTCTGATCTCTATTCCCCATGGGCATGCTGGTTATGTGTCAAACTACTGTTGAACTGAAACAGAACTTTTCTTTGGTAGAAAAAGCTACTCTGACAAGCTAACAGTTTGGAATTGCTTTGTGATTGGAATTTTATTGTATACTGACACCTAGGTCTAGTAACACTGGAATAGAAGGCAGAGAGTCTTGACATTGGCACTCTGAGCTCGCAGTTCCTTTCTATTCCCAAGGCTGCTGTCTATAACTAAACAAACATCTTTCTTCCTTCCATTTTCCTTCTCTTCCCTCCACATTACTCAGAACCTATGACTATATACTGTGTAACATAATAAGCACCAGAGCTACAGAGATCACTAAGTCACACATATCAAGGAACTCAGTCTACTGGAGGAAACAAATTCTCAAAATGATAGTCAGAGCATGGAGAAGATAAGTTTTTAAAGACTGTACAAGGCTCTACGGGACCAAGTAGAAGAAATGAGGAACTCTACCTGGGTATCTTGATTATGGATTAACTATAAAGGAATACATATTTAATGGGTATTGCTTGGGTTCAGTTGTTAAGGAAATGGACTTTATATCCATCATGTTCATCTTATTCTGTAAGTAAAGTTTGATGCATCCAGACCTGGATGAGTATGTGTGGTAGTTTGAATTGTATGTCCTTCCAAATATGTTCAAGTTCTAACCTTTGGTACCTGTGAATGTTACTTTATTGGGAAACACTATCTTAGCATATGTAACCAAGTGGGACTTACTTCAAGGACTGCTGTCGTTATAAGAATAAAAAAATATGGAAAGAGATGTAAGAGAGAACACCTTGAGGTAATATAGAGTACACAGACACACAGGAGAAAGCATCATGTGACAGTGGGGGCAGAGATTCAATAATGTACCTGCAAGTCAGTAGAAAGAGGCAAAGAAAGATCCTCTTCCTAGCGCCTTCAAGAGACCCTGACCCTTTCATTAACTAAAATCCAGATCTCTACCTACTAGAAATAGGAGAGAATAACTGCTGTGTCAGTCCACTCAGTTTTTGTTTGTTACAGCAGCCCTGGAAAATGAATACAGATTTTCAAATTGAGATGTACCTGTTTCTGCATCAGATATTAAAAATATGGAACTGGTTTTACAGTTTTGTCTAGTATATAAATACTATGATTTTTGAGACAGATGGTATTGAAAAGACCATACTGCTTTGAGAATATTGTTAAAAATATGAACTGCTTCTGGTACAGTCTCTGATGAAAACAAGAAGCATTATCGGAGAGTGGCAGGGAGGTGATACAGTCTAGAATGGAAGAGAACCATTTCATCATACTGTTGAATGAAAAACAAAAAGTGTTCAAATGATGAGCTTGAACCTTGAGCTGACAAAACTTCCAAGAAAAATATGAAAGTACAGTCTGGTTTCTCTCCACTGCTTGTGCAAAATGCAACAGCAAAGAGATACATTGTGGCGGGAACCTTTCTTCTACTTGGCTTTCCATAGCAAAATCCACAGACTGGGTGGCTTAAAGAGCAGAAAGCTGTCTTCTCACTGTTAAGAGATGGGGAAGTTCAAAAGCAAACAGTCAACCAATGTAGTTCCCAAGGGCCTCCTTCATGGCATGGATGTGGTCACCTTCTCACTATCTGCTCACATGGCTTTTACTTAATAAAGGCATATGAAGAAAGAAAGAGATCTTTGTTTTGTTTTTTTCTCATGAGGCCATCAGTCCTTGGCCTTATGGTTCCATTTGACCTCAATCATCCCCTTCACGTCTTATTTCTAAGCACAGTCACAATTAGGGCTTAAGCTTCAACATATGACTTTGAGGTAGGGTTACAGTTCATCTCACAAAAGATCTATTAAGTAAACAGTTGCCAGAACTTGAAGATTTGGCAACTTCTCAACCTATCCATACCTCAAGCACAAAACAGTGCACTCTGGAGTGAACATGCAGGGTATGGGTAGAAAAAGGTTTTCTGGAGAGATTCATCATGGGACATGAGGTTGAAATCGGGTATCTCAGCAGAATACTGTCACCATGAACTGAAAGGTTCAGACACAAGACTCAACAAAAGGAGGTTGTGAGACTTCTGAGACTCGACAGCATCAAAGTGACGAAAAAAGCTGTTCAGCTGGGAGTTCGAGGTATTCCTTCCGGAAAATAGAAAAATGGGTTCCAATAATGACTTGGAGGCTAGCAATGCTCAAATTTGTTATTCTTGCCAATATAGGAGTATGGGCCTTCTGGAGGAAGTCATTGCCTCTTTCATTCCAGAGGGTGGGGTTGCCTCCTAGAGTTCAGAAGGTGGGGCCCCATTTTTAGCTACAGGTGGGCTGAGAGAGTGAAGCCAGGAGACAACACTGAGCCACAGATAATTAGCTGCAGGCCTCTAAACCTAGTGGGACTTGCTTTGCTGGGTTGCCAGCTTCCTATAGAGCAGCAGCCCTTCTAGTTCTTCTATGTTTCCCCTTTCAGAGTGGGAATGTCTATCCTCCACTACTTCCCATATGGGATTTCAGAAGCAGATACATTGTTTTTGAGGTGTCACATGTCCACAGGTAGAGGAGAAATACTGCCCCCAAAACGAACATACACAGAGTACAGAAAGGAACATACAAGGAGTCTTGCTGGTGCCTTACTGGTATTCTTATCAAAAGAGAGAAATTTGAATGCAGACTCATACAGAGAGAAGAACTTGGGAAGATACAAAACAAAGAGACACACGGGAAAGCACGGGGTGATGGCTGAGGCAGAGACCAGAACAGTATGCTGCAAGTCCAAGGACACTAAGGATGCCCAGTACTGCCACAGCGTAGGAATAGCAAAGGATTCATCCCTAAGGCTCTCGGAGAGACACGACAGACTCTGATGTCAGACTTCTGGCCTACAAACTCGGAGAAGACATTGCTGCTTTTGTTTTTTACATTTCTCCCATGTAAGAGAATACATTTGGGGCTTTTTGTTTTTATTGGGATTTGTTTTTCTATAAAGCAGGGTTTCACGTAGACCAGGCTGTCCCCAAATTTGCTAGTTAGCTGAGGATGACTTTAAACTTCTCTTACGTGATAAGAATATAGGGATTTATAAATTACACCCAGTTTGTAAATTTGTGTGTTTTAAGTCCCAAAGATTTTGGTAATTTGTTACAGCAGCCATGGACTGGCATAGTGTGTCTCTACAGGCATTTCTATTTGCTGATACAAATTTTTAAAAATCGAATTTGAAGACAGATTCAAAACTGTAGCAGGCATACAAATTGCTAAGAAAGGTGAGTTGGCTTGAACTTTTCAGAGCCTCCTTGTTGGGTATTTGTGTTTGATTTTTATCATCTTAAAAATACACACCCCATTGCTCTGATCTGACCAGACTCTTATTGGCAATGGATTGAATATTTGTGTAACACCCCCACTCTACTGAAATCCTCACTCTTAATGTGGTTGTATTACCAGAGAAACTTTGGGAAACCATTATGTTCTGAGGGTGGAGCCATGATGAATGATATTAGTTCCTATATAAGAACCTTCAGGATTTTCTCTCAATCTGTCATATGAAGACACAACACAAAGATAGCTGCCTATGAAATAGAAAGTAGGTCTTTGTCAGACACTGAATTTGTCAGTAACTTCATCCCTAATAAATAAATTCCAAGACACACACAACCTACTAGGACTGAATCATGAATAAGAGAAAATCAGAGAGGAACAATGACAAGTAATGAGATTGAATAAATAATAAAAAGTCTTTCACCAAAGAAAATTCCAGGCCCATAGAGCTTCACTGTTTATTTCTATCAAACATTTAAAAAAGAAAGAAGGAATGGAGTTTTAATTCAGTGGTAAATTTATTGCCTT